CGCTCTCGCTCTCTCCTCTCTTCCCGGTCGTGGGCCTTCCCCCCCCCCCCCCCCCTTGCTCATCCCTCCCTCTTCTCCAATCTTGCGACTGACTTTTTGATATTCCCCCTTTCGCACAGTGTCGAAACCGACATCCCAGCCCACGATCAGATCTTCTTCCCCATTTCCATGAAGATGGCTCGGAGTACGCATCGAGCTTCTTGTTCTTTCGCTTCTTCTTCGACTGGCCAGCACGTGTCTCACAGCCCAACTTCCTTGCATCTGCCCCCTTCCCGCCCCGCTCCCTTCCCCCCCTCCCAGCGCAATATCCTCCGCTGGTTCTGTGCCTGGAGAAGTCCCGCGCACAGGACCCCATCCATGGGCACAGCTACGTCCTGCTGAACTTGCATTCTTTCCTGTCGTCGATCATCTTCCGTGGCACCACCTCGGACCCGCCCCAGTACTCGGGCTTTTCGAGTTTCTCTCGTCCCTCGGAGGTCAAGTACTCGGTTTCCCTCCCCCGTGAGCAGAGGGATCAGATTGACTTACACAATAACTATTTCCAGCTTGTCGCCAAAAGCATCGTCACAAGCTGCGAGAAGGTTACTGCGGCCACGCTCAAGCAGGAGTTCGGCCTGGACGCCCCGACTTCGGCCGGGGCTTCCACCATGTCCGACACCTCGACGCCGTTTGCTCTGGATGCCAGCTCCCCCTCTATGAATGACTCCACCCTGACGGCGTCGCTCTATTCCTCCTCGACGCAGGAGCATGGGGGTGCCTTTGGTCCGGCCTCCGGTGCGCCGACCGAGCTCAGCCTCCGGACGACCCCCTCGCAGCAAAGCATCCTCCACGAGGAAGCCGAGAAGGAGGACGAGGAGGAGGAGGACGAGCAAGCCCTCGATCATCCAGAGGACGAGATCCCCCTCAAGGGCCAGCAGGGCAAGCAGCACCATCGGCAGGAGTCCGAGAGGGATGCCCTCGCCGCGGAAGCCATCAAGGCCGACCTTGACGTTGAGCAGGAGCAGGAGGACGAGGAGGATGACGCTGTGGCAGCGCCATTCCATACGCTGGAGGACATCTGCCGGCAGAAGCTCTCTTTCCAATTCAGGTCCGGCGAGTCGGCGGTCGAGCCCAACTGGTGGTGTGTTCCCACCTACAGCATCCGCCAGGGTGACACCCTCTACCTGCAGGCCGCTCGCATGGGGGCCTGCTTCATTCCGCTTGTTGTGGTGCCTCCGAGCTACTTCAATGTCCAGGTACGAAGGCACCCTCCAGCCACCTTACTGTCGGTCTTCTGTCCTTGTTTGCTGGGCTACCTCCCCCCCCCTCCCCTCCTCCCCCCTCTTGTTCTTATGTGCTTTTGTTTCTCACACCCTCTTCTGGGGTTTCCGCCCCCCCCTCCCCCTGCCCCGGCTTTTTCTCGGTCCCTCTTCAGCTCAACTTCATCGACATGCAGAGCTCCACCCATCATGGCATCACCATCGTCCGTGACACGGCCACTCCGAGCCTGACGCTCCTCAGCTGCATCGAGCGCTTCTCCGAGCTGGAGACCCTGCAAAATGACAACGAGTGGTACTGCCCCAACTGCAAGACCCACCGCCGGGCGCACAAGCGCCTCAGCCTCTGGAGCGTGCCAGATGTGCTGATCATCCATCTGAAGCGCTTCAAGACCACGCACTATGGCCACTCCTCCAAGACCACCACCCTGGTGGATTACCCGTACGAGGGCCTGGACTTGCGGCCGTACATCGGCCAGACACTGGCCGGGGTCGGCCCCGACCCGGGGCTCTACGACCTTGTGGCTGTGTCCAATCACACCGGATCCCTGTATGGCGGGCACTACACAGCCACATGCCGCGTCCCGGTGGCCGATGGTGCCAATGGCCCGGGCCCGGGCCCGGGCCCGGGCAAGGAGGCTACCGGCGACCTGGCCGGCGACCTGGCCGATGAGGACTTCGAGGATCTGGCCGATGACCAGCCCCTCTGGCGGCCTCAGGCCCACCAGCAGCCGGCCACCCTGGCGACCACGTCTCGGCCGGATGCCCAGCAGCCTGGGGTGTGGTTTGAGTTTGATGATAGCTCGGCCCGGCCGGAGACGCGATTCTGCCAGCGCGAGGCATATGTCCTGATTTACCAGCGCCGCGGGGCGTCGGCCGAGCTGCCAGACCACTTTCAGCCCAAGCCCTCGGAGTATGTGGTCCGCCGTACCTTTCGGCGGGACAGTTCCCCGACCGGTGCTGGTGATTCCGGTGCCGCCGGTGTTGGCCGGCCCGCTGCAGCGGATGGTCTTGGTGTTGGATATGATCTACCGGCGCCTTGTGCCGCCGGCGCCGTCGGCTTTGGTGGTGGCTACCACCATGGAGGCTATGTCGGCCTCGGGGGCAGCCTCGGGGATGATGATGACGATGACGACGGAGCCGACCTCGACGGCGGCCACGATGGGGGAGATGCCACTCCCCGACTCGCCCGGCTGGAGGAACTTCCTCCCCCTCCCTACCCTGGGATCGGGGGCGGCCCTTTCCACCACCACCAGCACCACCAGTGATCTCGACGATGCCGGTCTCTTGGGCACCCTGCTGGCGGCAATGGGTCGATGGTGGCCGTATGCCGATCGGGGGCGCGCTTCCGGCCGGGGCTCCTCCGGCATTGGTGATAGCAGCCGGTCCTTTCGGATCGGCAATCCCCTTGCCGGGGCCGGGGCCAATGGCGGCCCTGGCACGGGCGGCGGAGACGCCGCCTCCCCCGAGCTCCTTCCCCGGCCGGTCACCTTTCGCTCGGGACGCCACCGCCCGGACCTTTCCGCTTCTTCGTCTGCGGCCTCTTCCTCTGCTTCCTCTTCCTTCGCTTTTTCTTCTTCATTCCCCAATGCCGGAGGCCACACGTCGGACCCGCGATTGAGCAGTCCCGGTGGCGATTGGTCAAGCCCGGCCGGTGTGGGGCGCGCGCGCGTTGTCCTCACGCTGCTGGCCCACTTGGCCCGGCGCCTTGGCCGTCTTGTCTTGGCTCCCCCGAGATCGCTTGTGCTGGCCCTTCGATCGGCGCGGACCGGTGGCGGGGGCGGTGTCGGCGGCGGTCACGCATATTCCCAAGACCCGTTCTTGCACAGCACCGGCGACTTCCCCCATCTGCCGGATTCCCCCTCGGGCGGGTCTCTCTCCGCTTCGGCCACCTCCTCCATTCCCACCACGCCCATGCTCATCCATCACCAGGCTCGGTACCGCCGGCGGCGGGTTTTCTCGCCGACCGTCAAAACAACCCTCCTCATCCTGGTGGCTTCCTTCTCCTATGGCCTGTATCTCTTTGGATCGCAGCTCTACTCCCGTCAAGTTTGGCGTTAGATTCCACTCCATCAGGGAACATGAGAAAAGGACCAAAGAGAAACATGCCTGGCAGTCAACCCCTCTCCTTCCCCTTGGTTTAAAAAATAAAGCAACTCCCCCGTTCACCCCCTGACATCGGCCCCCGCCGCATGCCATGTGTGTCTCCCGGTGTGTGTGTGTGCTCCTTTCTTCCCCTGCCCAACATCGGTCTTACTGTGTCTCGATCACCGTCCCGGTTTGTTTGTTTGCTTGCTTGTGTGTTTGTGCAATATTCTCCGTTCCCTTTCCTTCCCTTTCTCTTTGCCCTCTTCTCGCTTCCTCTTGTCTGCCGCCCCCCGGAGGCTGGCGTGGGGAGGATGACCACAGGGAAGCAAGTGCATTTGGCATCCAGGGCACTGGACGCAGGGACAGGAATCTCCCCGAGGCAGCCATTCGGGCGAGCTACTTGGAAAGGGTGCATCGGACCGCGCGACCGACCCCATCGCAGCCGTCCCAGTCATCCATCGGTGGAGAGGCCTCGGCATCGCTTTCGGCCAAGTGTGGCGGGATACCTCGGGCCAGGCCACGGCGGACCTTTAGCCTGGCCCGGACCCGGGCGGCTAGCGAGTGCCTCGCCTCGACCGCAGCCACGCGGGTTGAAATGGGGAGGAGCGAAATCCGGTAGAGATATGCCGAGCGAGTTCCAGCAAGGAGGTGCGGGGAGGGGGCATTGCCACTGCCAACAGTGGCACCTAGATAGGGCGAGGAGCCAGCACTGGCGGAGAGGGAATTGACCTCGGTGGGCGACCCGGCCACTAGCGCGGCGAGGCCCATGTCACCGGGGCCAATGTCTGCCGGGAGGGTGGGAAGCGAAAAGTCGAGGCGCTCGAACTTCTTCAGGATCTTCGTGCACGCGGTCAAGTTGAGCAGAGCAAAGTCCTGCGCGGGGAGGGAAGGCAGAAAAA